CTCTCCCAGGAGTAGTAGCGAAACGTCCCGTCCAGCCTATTTGGAAATGGGAACAAATTGCTCCCCCGCCTTACCTCGCCCATCGCATCCCATATATAGTCATATCTACGGTCAAATGGCAGGCAGCAGCGAATGGGAGCGCTGAGCCGCCGAAAAAAGCCGGGGGGGGAGTGAGAGAGGGAAAGGGGTAGGGACGAACAGAGGAGGGAGGGAAAAAAAGAATCCCTTTCCAAAAAAGTATTGGATGTCTTGAGGAATGCAGTCAGCCCCCTGGGAAAGTACATATCTGTGAGGCGCTCCCTGCCCGCCGCTTGCACTCCGCCGGCGTCCCGTACCGCACGGATCAGCCCCGCCGCCCGGCAGCTCCGCGCCGCTCCCCCGGGGGCCACCGCTGGGTCTCGGTCTCGGGGCTGTCCCGCAGCTTTTCAAGTTTTGCTTTCGGGTGAAATTCGCGTGGGGAAGCGCCCTAGACCACCGCCACCATGGATGCCATCAAGAAGAAGATGCAGATGCTGAAGCTGGACAAGGAGAATGCCTTGGACAGAGCTGAGCAAGCTGAAGCGGACAAGAAGGCAGCGGAGGAGAGAAGCAAGCAGGTCTGCACCGAGGGCCCGGCGCAATGAGCGCTGGGGGGGCATGGACCATGCTGAGCCCAGACCCAACACACCCTGGCAGGGGGAACAAGGGTGTAGGGTGTGAGAGCTGCCACTGTCCCACAACTCGGGGACCATGCCACAATGCTGTGGGGCATCCCAAGGGCTGCCCAGGGCTCAGCCCATGCCAGCTGGTGGCATGTGGGACAGGTATGGACACTGTGGGGCAGAGCTGGCCCCGGGCTGGGGTAGGAAGGATGCCGTGGGGCAGAGCTGAGCCTGGGATGGGGTAGGCAGGGCTCTCCCGCCGTGTGGGGGTCCAGAGGGAACTCCACCCGCAGTGACTGCTGCTGCCCTTCCAGCTGGAGGACGAGCTCGCCGCCATGCAGAAGAAGCTAAAAGGGACAGAGGATGAGCTGGACAAATACTCTGAGGCCCTGAAAGATGCCCAGGAGAAGCTGGAGTTGGCGGAGAAGAAGGCGGCAGACGTACGTATGGGGTGCAGGGCGGGAGCTGGGTTGGCTGCCCTCCCCTTGTCACCCTCCTGGTGGGACTGCAGCCATTCCCTGCGGCCTTGGGGACAGAAAAAGGTCCCCGTCAGGCTTGGTGCACTCCTGGCAAAGCGGTGTAGAGGGTGACCCTGGGAAGGACACATCTTGGGGGAGTCACCCACAGCCACGCAGGGGACAGAGGGATGGTGGCTTCTTCATGGGCAGGGATGTCCCGGGATGGAGCCGGCCGGGCAGCCAGGGACACCGAAATGGGGGCAGAGCCACAGCGGCAGCGAGCAGCCCCTCGAGCGCGGGACGTGGGGTCCACACGTGTCGCCAGGAAGCTCTGTGTCACTGCTGCTGTCGGAGGAACTGAGGTCCGGAGGAGGGGGGAGCCCTCGTCTCCCCAGGCAGGCGGAGGCTGCGTGGGCAGCGTGACAACTGCACAGCCCGGCTATTGTTGGCCACCGTTTCCAGGAAAACAATGGCGCGAGCGGTGCAGGGTTTCACTGTCCGGCTGCTTTCCCAGCCATCACGTGGCGTGGAGTTTGGCTCCGCTCATCGCAGCCAGAGGGGCTGTCACCCCGTGGGGCCATGATGTCTCAGGGGTCGAGCATCGGGGAGATGCAGATCTTGCCTCCTGCGGGAGCTGGAAGAAAGACCCGGCTCCTCTCCCTCGATGGGCCCAGCTCTGATGTCCAGCCCAGAGCCTTCCACTCTGGCTACGCCGCTGACGCCTGGCCATGTTTTTCCTGACATGGTGCCTGGGCTGGCTCTCACTGGCACATCCTGGCTCCGAGACGGGGGCCAGGGTGAAACTGGGAACTGTCGAGCCCTCCCGAAGCCCTCGACAGTTTGTCAGCCCTGTGGCTTTGCTCATGGCTTCCTCTCCTGGCCCCTGCTGAGCGTGCCGGAAGTGCCTGCCCTGCGCCGGCAGTTGGCACACGCCGACCATGGCCTTGCAGAGCTCTGGGGAGTCCTCTCCCTCCCTCAAGCCCTTATTTCCTCCCTGGCATTTTCAGACTCTCTCCCCGCCATCACCCCACAGCGCTGAGGACCACATCCCCACTCGCTTCGCATCTCGTTAATCCCCTTCTGTTCATTCAGAGCCCCCTTTTTCCAGCTGCCACCCCCCAGGGTGGCTTTGGGGCTCCCCCGGTTTCACCCTGGCTTAGGGAAATGGAGGGATTTTGGAACCCGGAGCGCTGGATGCTCAGAGCTGCGTGCTGGCTCCCTCCAGCCGGTGGGCGCACGCAGAGTTGGGGCCTTTTGGTGGCCAGCTTGTCTCTGGGGGACCTGCCAGGCCATTAGGCCAGCCGAGCGTGTGCCAGCCCTCCCCACGCTGGCAAACACACCCCTGGGACATGTGCCTGCCCCGCTGCTGAGGGTTTTAGGAAGCGGCACAGGGGCGGCAGCCTGGCGCCCCTTTCCTTTTATTCGTGTGCTGCTGAACAGGCGGCGAGGTGAACGAGGGCAGCGACTGGTCTCGGTTAGGTTTTTATTGAGCTCTCGGGGGGCTCGGTGACCCTCATGGCACAGAGGAACGCCACTCACCGCAGCGTTTTCTGCCCTACTGAGTTTTAGGAATGGCTAAAGCTGTCGCAACGGTGGGTTTTGGGGCACGGCGGTGGAGCGGGAGCATGGCAGCAGCACTCTGCACCGTGGCTTGGTGTGCTGGCAAGCACCAGAGCCCCGTCCCTGGAGAGGAAGGAGGGGAGCAGGGTCTGCTGCAGGGCTGTGGGGTCTCAGCCCCGGTGGGTGTGGGGGCTCTCTAGGGCGGGAGCGGGGGTGGGAGGTGGTGTGTGAGCTCAGCCCCCGGGAATGTGGCGCCACTGCAGCCCCGCCATGCCCGTGTGAGGCCCGTGGGGCTGAGGTGGCCCCAGCCCCAGGGCGCTCCCGGGGCCAGACAGCCACCTGGCCACAGGGCCCCATGGGGGTGGGGGGCTGTGTGGGGCATGGTGGGGTGGGGCAGAGTGCGTGCACCCCCGTGGGATAGGATGTGGAGGCCTGTGTGTGATAGGGCCCCTGTCCTCAGGGCCCTGTGGAGCAGGTCCCAGTGTCCCCCCACCCGTATGGGGCAGGTCCTGGTATCCCCATACCCACATGGGGCAGGTCTTGGTGTTCCCAGATGCTGGTGGGACAGGTCCCAGGGTCCTGGACTCTGTGAAGCTGGTCCCAGTGTCTGTAGGCCCTCATGGGACAGGTCCTGGTGTCGCCAGGCCCCTGTGGGACAGGTCCTGGTGTCCCCATACCCACATGGGGCAGGTCCCAGTGTCCCTAGGCCCCTGTGGGACACATCTTGGTGTCCTCAGGTCCCCATACCCACACGGAGCAGGTCCTGGTGTCCCTGGGCCCCTGTGGGGCAGGTCCCCACATCCACATACCCACGTGGAGCAGGTCCTGGTGTCCCCATACCCACATGGGGCAGATCCTGGTGTCCCCATACCCACGTTGGGCAGATCTCAGTGTCCCCATACCCCCGTGGGGCAGATCCTGGTGATCCCATACCCACACAGGGCAGATCCCGGTGTCCCCAGGTCCCCATGGGACAGGTCCCAGTGTTGCCATACCCACACAGGGCAGGTCTTGGTGTCCCCAGTCCCTGGTGCAACAGGTCCCGGTGTCCCCATTCCCATGTGGGGCAGGTCCCGGTGTCCCCATACCCACGTGGGGCAGGTCCTGATGTCCCCATACCCACATGGGGCAGGTCCCCGTCTCCCCATACCCACAAGGGGCAGTGTCCCCGCTCCCGTCCGGGCCGTCCCGCTGTCCCCAGGCCCCACCGCGGCGCAGCCGGGTCGCAGCTCCCCGTCTCCAG